ATTTTGGGCATTCCTTCCGCGTTCAGTTCTCGATTTTCGAATGCTGAAACCAGGCGGCGAGCTGACTGCTGTGCCAATACGGATTTACTTTTGCAACGTCAGTTCCTGCTTTTCAGGAGAGCGTTCAGATGTTCACATGACCACCCTCTGCACACTGCCGCATTCATTCCTGGAAGCTTTCAACCAGCCACCAGTGCTTTTGTCAGAAGGGTTGGCAGACCGAGACGTGAATGGGTTACCGAAATCAGAAACAAAGCTTTTGAACATTTTGGCGGCCACCAAGACATCGCTAGACTTGTACAGAATCCGTTTGTTTGGCGTCGTACGGTGAGCCAGCTTTTGCCTGTCCACGCGCCGCATGGCGTATGACTGACTGACTGACTGACTGACTGACTGACTGACTGATTTAACCCTTCAACCCCCCATCCCAAAGCTTTAACCTCTATGACTCGCAGATTATCAAAGGATGAAAGCACGGGCCCGCAAAATGGGCCCCAGCTTCCTTTCGACAAATTCTGGAAATTTATTTCGGGCAGCAAGCGTATATACTAGCTCGGTAAGGACCCCTAGGTTCAGGGCCCACCCTTTTGGCCTTCGAAGCGACCTTGAAGAAACCCCAACCCTAAAAACCTTAAACCCTGTAAATCCAAAATCCTCTCAACACTACTAAACCCTATAAGTCCTAAACCCTACAAGCCCTATACCCTGAGGTTGGCTGAGCAGTCTCCTTTCCCAGGGCTGGAGCAGATCGCCATGACTTGGTTGGGTTAGAGGCCCGAACTACATCAGCAGCCCTCGGTGTCTCAAAGAGTCAAGACAACAAAGGATGGGCAGCTTGTAGAGTGAGGCCTGCAGAGACTTTGTAATAGGGGTTATGTAGGTCATATAGGGGTTCGAAGGGGACAACATGTGAACCTAAGTGAGCCTCCAAAGAGAGGGGTGACATAGTGCAAGGGTTGGATGGCGCAGGAGAGGTTTTGAACGGTACTCTGGGGTCCAGAGGTGTCAGTTGTGATTTGGTGATGCCTGCAGCTCCACTACCAGCAGGGTAACAGCATTGCTTCAGATGTTAGTCCCCTTCTGCAGCTTCTGCCACCATGATTCATCCTAAACCCTAAACCCTAAACCTTTTCTTCACTTGGGGACCCTGAATCCCCAACCCTGAACCCCTTTGTTGAGCACTGGCGAGGCCGCAGCGGCTTCCTGAAGGTCTGCCCAGAGAATCACGCTTCCACTGCGGAAAAAGTTGTCTACAACTGGGGGTTTAGGGTTTAGGGTTTCAGGGATATGTAGGGTTAAGGGATGGAGAATCCAATGGACAATAAACTCGACACTGACATGGAAACAGGGTTTGTATGGGGGTCGTAGGGAGAATTACCAGTATGATGGTTGTGTACAATCGTGGTATAGGGTGCCCCAAATAGACTTCAACATTGTATTCGCAAAGAAGGCCCTAGATTAGATTATTTTATCAAGGGATTGTGAGGGCTTATCAAGGGCAAGTTCAGAGAAAAGCTGGGGAGGGGGAGTACAGGGTGAAGAAGTAGGGAACCCATAGTTCGTATATTAAGTAGATGGAATATGGCTTTGGGTATATTATAGTAAGATCCCCATATACCCCATATTCGATCTACTTAAGGGGGACTATATCTACATACCAGTCCCTATGCACCTTGTATACATCCAGTTCCATTTCATTTGCCGTTTTCTTTTCCATTTGAAAACCCATTGAAAACCCTAAACCCGAAACCCATTACTACATAGTCCATACGCCGTGAGGTTTGTTGGTTCCGGGGTTTAGGGTTTGGTTTGTTGGTGATGACACCTACTTCTCCCAAGGGGACTTCTGAAAATGAGTGGTACCATTCTGGGGTTCCCAATAGCCAGGATTCTGGCAGTTTGGGGTCCATATTGGTGTCCCGCTTTTTATTGAAAAGACAAGATGCCTATCTTTGTTTGAGGCTCGGTTGTTTGAGAGCCTTTGGACGGGAAGGAGGGCGTAGTTTGACACGGCAGGACGGACTAGATTTGAGATTCTTCATTTTCGCTGATGTTTTCCATAAAAAGAGATGCAGGTTTCCTAGGTCTAGCAGGGATCAATACAAATTAATTAAGGCTAGATAGCTCCAGGACCCCGTGGTGGAATGGAACCTCCTGCGGTTCGAGGCTACCAAGCGGCGTTGGAGTTAGTTTTCTGGGTTGAGACAGGAAAGTGCAAGGCCGGCCAGGGGGTTCAAGTACCTAACTTTCAAGTACCTAACCCTAAACCCTCCACCCTAAACCCTAGACCCTCAAGCGTAAACACTAAACCCTAAACACTCAACCCTCAACCCGTAATGCGCGGTCATGCGATGCCTTTGCGCGATAGTAGCTCGCATCAGTGAGGAACCTGGAGCCACCACAATAAACCCTAAGCTACGGTAGTGACCTTCAAGAAGGCGAGAATCTACACTGCCCCCAGCCTAGGCTGTCAACCGGAAGCGTTGATTCAAACTATTCACCCTCATGAACGAAGGTTTAGGGTTCAGGTTTGCTACCCAAATAATGAAGGATCAAGTGGACAAGAAAATAGAAACTGACATGGGAAGTTGGGCCACCATCTTTTTTGAGGGAAACAAGGGTGTCCTTCAAATACACTGCCACTTACATCCTACACCCTAAACCCTAAACATCCTAAACCTTGGCGAGACGGAAAAGAGGGGCTGCAAAAAAAAGCGCCCTAAACCCTAAACCCCAGACTATCCGCAATCTGGGCCTCAATATCTTGTAACCGATAACCCTGACTCTGAGCACTCCCAAAAAGGGCCCATAAGTTGTGGAAACTCCCATGTAGTCCAATGACGAACAAGTAGGGCCCGCACCAAGTTCATCATTTACTGCATAGTAAATTGGTTCCCCTCATATGCTCCCAAGCTCTGCAATCACTATGGGAACCCCCCAGGAGGTACCCCGAGCTTGGGAAACCACATATCTTTCCTCTCAGACGGTATAATAAGTGGCGGGCTCGCGACTGTTTGCCTTGCTGCCTGGCTCGCGTTATCGGGGCGTCGAAGCCCAAACCTTAAATTAGAAATCCAGAAGCTTAAGCACGCTAGCACTAAAGCCTAAATCCCCCTAAGCCTAAACCCGAAACCTAAACTCCCTAATCCCAAAGCCTCAACCCCAAACCCTAAACCCCTCATCCCTAAACCCCCTAACCCCAATCCCTAAGCCCCCAATGCTGCTCCCTAAGCGGCCCACAGACCTCTAAACCCCAGGCAGGACCAACCCATGAGCCTTGAGACCCCCAAACTTGCCCAAGCTTATATAGGGCTTATATTACCCCCCAACCCCCCCCCAAGGGTTGAGGGTTTAGGGTTAAGGGTTTAGGGTTGTAGGGCCCGAAACCAAAGGCTGAAGAGCCCGAAGCTGCCCTAAACTTACTGCAGGTTAGTAGACAATGACTGAACACATCACATAGGGATGATATTCCCTCATTCCCTACTAACCACCAGTGACTAAGCCTTAAGAACCCTAAACCCTAAACCCTAAACCCTAAGCCCTAAAAACCTAAGTAGGCCTTAAGAACCCTTGACCCTAAACCCTAAACCCTAAGTCCTAAAAACCTAAGTAAGCCTTAAGAACCCTTGACCCTAAACCCTAAACCCTAAACCCTAAACCCTAAGCCCTAAAAACCTAAGTAGGCCCTAAGAACCCTGGGACGAGGACATGTTGGACCCCCCGCCGGCGGAAGCTGCCGGCGAGGCTTCACCTGCTGGTGACGCAGGCCTGAAGATTATACAGGGATGTATAGGGGGGGGGGTTATATAGGGGTATTAGATAGGGTTATATAGGGGATTATATAGGGTTATATAGGGTTTAGGTTTTAGGGTTTAGGGTTTAGGGGGGTCATACCCTAATAATGGAGAATCAAATGGAAAAGAAAATGGAAAATGAAATGGAAACTGGAGGTGGTTATCCCTGAAGTCATTCTTGAGACCTTAATCCACAGCACGCTTGTGAAAGAC